GGCACCGTTTCCTTTTGTACGTGGGGTTGCTATGAGTCGGAACTGACTCAATGGCACCTAACAGTAACAACAACAGTTTCTGAAGGTTCCTAGAAATCCCTGGTGTTCCTTGGCTTGTAGTTGTATCACTCCAATCTCTGCCTCCATCTTCACATGGCTGTCTTCCCCCTGCGTGTCTGACTCTTTGCTTCTTTTTATAAGGATACTACTCATATTGGATCAGGGCTCACCTTACTCCAGTATAACCTTATGTTAACTATCATCTTTTTATACAAATAACACGTGCCTTCTATGTTTGTTTGCCACCCATGCCTTCCCCTCCCCCACCCTCCCCAATCAGGGTATTTTTGTAAGCGCCGCTATACCAATATGTCAAAGAAAAAAACTGGCATAGTGACATTTATGAAAATATCTCATGGGGGAGGGAAGGGGAAGGCACAGCTGCTAGAAAACATAGAAGACATGCGTTATTTGCGTTAAAAATATGGTAACAGCATCTTCAAACATCTATTTCCAAACAAGATCACATTCACAGGTATTGGGGGTTAAGACATAACATAACTTTTGGGGGAACACAGTTCATCCCATAACAACTACTAAGCACTTCCTTTCTTGCTCATTTGCTTCTCCTTCCAGAGGTTAGACATTCTGATGTATAAGGAAGGGAAAACCAATGTCCTCATTGCCAGGTGTGGGGAGAGGAAGTGTACAGCACCCACCATCAAAGGGAAGCCTGCCTGCAGAGGACTCCTCTTCCCAACACAGGTATCTTTCCCTTCCTCTGCCTTCCGTTTGTGGTGGAGTCCTCCTTCTCCACCCCCTCCCCTGCCACCCAAGAAAGCAAATGTGAGGGCAAGATTGTCCACTTCTAAACCTAGACCTGCCCTCCTGGATCTACAGGAGAATGCCAAAGGAAATCAGTGGTCTCCCCAGTGGCAATAAAACACTGGAGTTTGCTATGAAAGGCACCATTAATTTCTGAGATAGTGTTTAAATGAGCCAGACGAAGTACTTCATTTATGAAATCTCAGTGTGCCTCGTACAGTGCCTGGCATATAGTACTCACTGGGTTAGTGCTTTCCTGAATAGGTAAACACAGGACATTCTGAGACTGTAATGAAAAAGTAATTCCTGATACATGCTACAAAATGATGAACTTTGAAAACATTATGCTGAGTGAAATCAAGTCAGTCACAAAAGGACAAAGCTTGTATGATACCACGTACATGAAATACCTAGAACAGGCAAGAGTCTAGAGACCAAAGTTTATTAGTGGTCACCAGGGGTGGGTTGGAGGGAAGGGAAAAGGAAGACACAATGTTGAGGGGACGCTGAGCCTGTTAAGGGTGGCAGAACAACATGATGAACATAATTAATGTCACTGAACTGTATGTGTGTATATTGTTGAAATGGCAAATGTTCTGTTACATATGTATTTACCACAATAAAAAAAAATCAAAAACAAAAAAGCAATGAAGGCATCCTGATTGGATGGGATGAAGTTGGGTGCTACAGTGAGAAGGGAAAAGACACTGAAGAGAGTCAGATGGTGTTTGAAAATCCACTGTGCCCCTTACTAACTATGTGCCTATGGGAAATGTAGTTAACCTCTCTGAGCTTCAGGATCTGCATCTTTAAGATGCATATAATTTTTCCTATTTTGCAGGGTTGCTGTGAAGACTTAAAGAGATAGTGACATATGCAAAGTGCTTAGCACACTGATGACACATAGTAGGTATCCATATACTGTGACACTAACAATAAAAAGTAATGGGCAGTTGGTCACTAAGGTTTTCATTACTCTCCCGTGAAATGATTCCACTTTATCTCTGATGCCCATCAACCTGTTCCATTTTTCTCCCCATGGCAGTCCAGAGGCATCATGCTGGTGTTATTAGCCCCATCAAGGGGCATTTGAGGGCCTTGGGCAGTCAAAGCCAGGAAAATGACCAGGAGATCCTGGCCATGGATGAGGTCTCCTTCAGGAAGATGAAGGGATAACCAGGGTCAGCCCGGAAGGGGCAACGGGACCTCCTTCTCCTGACACGTGCAGCCAGCCCATTTTACCCAATAATATCCCGCTCTGCCAATAGACCACATTTGCCACCTGAGCCAAGAGAGACAAGGTCAAACGATGGCATACATACTTACCCACCCTGGTGGAGCAGTTATTTGAAGAAGTATGTGTGGGGTGGGAGGAGGGAGGAGGAAGGCTCTGTCAGTCAGACAAAAGGTAATGTGAACGCCCTCATCAAACCTTGCCTCCACACACTTATATACTGTTGGTGGGAATGTAAAATGGTACAACCACTTTGGAAATCAATTTGGCACTACCTTAAAAAGCTAGAAATACAAGTACCATATGATCCAGCAATCCCACTCCTTGGATAATATCCTAGAGAAATAAGAGCCATCACACAAATAGATATATGCACACCCATGTTCACTGCAGCACTGTTCACGACAGCTAAAAGATAGAAACAAACTGAGTGTCCATCAACAGATGAATGGATAAACAAATTATGGTATATTCAAATAATGGAATACTATACAAAGATAAAGAACAATGATGAATCCGTGAAACATCTTATAACATGGAGGAATCTGGAAGGCATTATGCTGAGTGAATTTAGTCAGTCACAAAAGGACAAATATTGTATAAGACCACTATTATAAGAACTCAAGAAAAGGTTTAAACACAGAAGAAAAATTCTCTGATGGTTACTAGGGTGGGGAGGGAGAGAGGAATATTCACTAACTAGAGAGTAGACAAGAATTATCTCAGGTGAAGGGAAGGACAACACACACTACAGGGGAAGCCAGCACAACTGGACTAAACCAAAAGCTGAGAAGTTTCCTGAACACAACCAAACACTTTGAGGGACAGAGTAGCAGGGGTGGGGGTCTGGGGACCATGCTTTCAGGGGACATCTAGGTCAATTAGCATAAAAAAGTTTTTTAAGAAAATGTTCTGCATCCCACTTTGGTGAGTGGCGTCTTGGGTCTTAAAAGCTAACAAGCAGCCATCCAAGATGCATCAATTGGTCCCAACCCACCTGGAGCAAAGAAGAATGAAGACCATCAAAGACACAAGTAAAGTATTAACCCAAGAGACAGAAAGGGCCACATAAACCAGAGAATTCATCAGCCTGAGACCAGAAGAACTAGATGGTGCCTGGCTACCACCAGTGACTGCCTTGACAGGGAATACAACAGAGAGTCCCTGACAGAGCAGGAGAAAAGTGGGGCGCAGATCTCAAATTCTAGAAAAAAGACCAGACTTAATGGTTTGATTTGAGACTGGAGGGACCCCAGAAAACATGGCCCCCAGACTCTCTGTTAGCCCAAAACTAAAACCATTCCCGAGGCCAACACTTCAGACAAAGATTAGACTGGACTATGGGACATAAAATGATACTTGTGAAGAGTGTGCTTCTTAGCTCAAGTAGATATGAGATTAAATGAGCAGCTCCTGTCCAGAGGTGAGAAGAGAAGGCAGAGAAGGTCAGGAGCTGGTTGAATGGACACAGGAAATCCGGGGTGGAAAGAAAGAGTGTGCTATCACAGAATAGGGAGAGCAACCAGGGTCACATAACAATGTAAGTATAAATTTTTGTATGAGAGACTAACTTGAATTGTAAACTTTCACTTAAAGCCCAACAATTAAAAAAAAAAAAAAACCTTGCCTCCACAATGGACAATCACACCCCTTGCTCTTCTCCTTTCCCCCTTGTTGTTCCCTCCCTCTCTTGTATAGCAGAATGACAGATGTAATCACTTTAAAAGGTCCCGTCACCTGCTCAGTCATTCCCAATAAGCACAAGCAGCACTATGGAAAAACCACCACCACCACCGCTATGGGGTTTTGGGCAGGAAAAAATCAAATCAGCAGGATGCCACCAACTGAATTGTGAAAGACTAAATAAAAAGCTTCATGAATTCTCCATTAGCAATATAACGCTTCCTAGCCTAAGCAAATATAGACCCAGCATATGAACTGTGAAGGGATTTTGCATTAGCCTCAATGGCTTCCAATGGCTGAAGCAGAAACCCCTAAAAAATACATGTCTCCATAAAGCTGCCTTTATTGGATCTAATCCTGTTAGGGTGAAGACTGTAATCTCCTTCCTGAGCCCCCTTCTTCTGATGAAAAGCATCACATCCCAGCCCCATAATACATTTCTGTGACCTCAGCTGGAGAGAAGACCTCAGAGAGATAGAGGAGATGGAGTCACCCGAGACCTCACTGGGCGCCTCCTTTCCCTCTGATGATATTGCTGCTTCTGTGTCCGATCACATGATCCATTCAGACCACCTCACAATCGCCTAGGTATGCGGGGTCATTCAATCACAAACTCAGGCTGAGAAACCAAGACCAGTCCTCCTTCAGCGAGAAAAAACAAATCAGGCGCCTACCATCTTAGAAAACCCAAGTTCAGAGTCACTTAGATAAAGTCTATTCAGAGCTACTGAACCCTTGAGCATTTGTGGTAGCAGAAAAGAAAAACTAAGAGAGAAAACAGCCTGTAAATATACTGCAAAGAAGAAATGCAGGAAGTATCCACAAAGCATGCTCTCAGTGTCTTCTGCTAATGGAAGTATGTACCCTGCTTACAACACTCATCAAACTTCTCACAGCCCTCTTCCTTCCCACCCATGGAAATGTAAGAATGCAAGCATCACCCACCCCCCTATACACACATACACACACAAAGAAAGCATAGCTGAAAAATGAAATGGTGACTTAATTTTCCAAGTTTTAGAAGGTGTCTGCCCCACTCCCCGCTGGGAAACTCAATTCACAGCAAGCTACCATTCCCAAACAAATCACTCCTGTGCTTTCTTCTTCTCATGATGGGACTTAACTTGCTCCCAAAACTTGGGTAAGGAATTCCACCGTCCCTCCCCAATTCTGATGCCACACAAAGCGTCATGGCCCTTTGATCTACAGGGTGATCTACAACCTCCATTCTTTCTCTAGTCCAGGCATGCAGACTTACCCCAGTGTGGTCATGGTGACGATGGTATACCAAAAGGAGGCAGGGATGCTCGTGAACTTGCTAGCCGAGGAGCCCTTCTCAGCATAAAACATCACAGTGGCAAAGATGATGATGGCCATGGTGAGGGAGAAGAGCAGAAAGCCAAGTTCAGAGGCACAGCTCTTTAGTGTGTAGCCCAGGATCCGCAAGCCCTGGGAATGGCGGGAGAACTTGAAGATCCTGAAGACACGGAAGACCCGGAGTGTGACAAAGGCGCCAGACACATCCTCGTTGTTGGTCATGACCAGACCGATGTAATACGGCATGATGGCCACCACGTCAATGATGCTCATCACGCTGCGGATGAACCGGTAGCGACTAGGCGCCGCGAAAAGCCGGAGGAGGTACTCCACCGTGAAGATCATGACGCAGGCAGTATCCAGGCAAAAGAAGGCCACCGAGTAGCGCTCTCCACATGGCAGCTCCTTGCTCCCTGGAACTGTGCCACATGGCACTGTCTCCACCACGTTGGTGATGACAGAGACAGCAATGAAGAAGCCAGTCACGTAGTAGAAGACCAAGGCCAGCGTGCTGGTGTGGGGATTCTCGAAGGCCCGCCACATGGTTTGGCGGAAGCTGAGCGAGGGCATGGACTCCTGGTTGTTCTCCGAGTCGTTGTCATCCATGAGCCGCTCAGCGTTCTCCCTCTTGCGGTCTTTGTACTCCTCATAACAACAGTCTCCGATGATCTCCGGGAGGATGCCATAGAAAGCCAGCTCATCATCGTAGGCGGAGATGCACTCGTATCGTGGGTAGTGTAACTTTCCTGTGCGGTAGAAGTTGAGGACACAGCGGAACACTTCTGGGTCCCGGTCAAAGAAGTACTCCTTGGTGTCCTCATTGAAGAAGAACTCCTTCTCTGTGCTGCCCAACAGAGTGTCCGGGTAGCGCTCCAGTGTGGTCCGCCAGGTCTGGAACCTCCGCCCACTCACGTTGAGGATGATCAGTTCATCCTGCCGCTTGTTCTTGTCGGCTGGGGCGAGAGGCATGGGGCAGTTGGCCACTGGCATCCACCCAATGGCTGCAGCCCGGGCAAAAGGCAGCCAGGCCGCAACTCCGGCCGCCATGATGACTCCAGCTCTTAGGCCGGCAACTGTTCAGACACTGCACAGCAGCTTGGAGTTAGTTCAGCGACCCCTGGGAGACAGGAAGAGCACAGAAGTGGGTGAGTCCATGATTGATCTGCATGTGGGAAATGAGACACAGGAAATGGTCATTGGCAAAAAGTCTCAAAGGTGAATTAATTAACCTGAAAAATCACCACCCAAGAGCAAACACTTGGATCCTTTTCCATCCTTCCTACATGGGGAGAGCACCTAGCACGGGGCATTACATGCAACGTGGGATCACCAGATGTTGTTGACTGCCTGACAAATTGTCAAGTTCCAAGAGGGCTCAGGAGCATTAGGAGGGAAAAGCCTCTCTAGCAGGAAGATCTGGGAAGACTCAGGTAATAATCAGCTCTGAAAGGTTATGGAGTTATTATGAATTTAAATTGGGAGAGGGTAAATGAGTTCTCATTAAACGAATTTAAAAGTGGGATAAACATGCTAATTTTTATTTCTCTCTTCAGCCACCAGGGCAATCAGGGATGGAGTATGGATGGAGGTGATCAAGTAAATGCATTCTTTCTACTCTCCGCCTTGTTGGTAAGGAGGAGGCTGGGGCTATCCATTTGAGAAAATTCTCTGAGATGGAAGGTGACTACAGTAGGCCCAGCCTTGACGCTCTGTCCCCCACTCCCATGGAGGAGGCTACCCTTGGTGCAGTGCTACTCTGTGGGACACGCAGCCCCCACTCCTTGACCCTGCAACCTAGTGTCCAACTACAACCCTCAGAGCCATCATGGGAAGATGTAGGAGAGGCTGTGAGGTGGGCAGAGCGCTTCCCCCACTCTGTGAAGGGAGTCTTGGTTTCTAGGTTCACCTGACTTCCATGCGCTGTCCCTGTCCTTTCCCAGAGGGAGCTAATCCAGGATCCTTCCCATCTCCAGATCCTTACCTCCTGTAGTCATCTGTCCACCATTTGTAACACCCTCAGGTTATATAACAATACATTTCTCCTTCCCATGCCAGCCTCTCTCACCTGACCCTCACGCCACCCTCAGAGATTCTTCCAGAGTTGGACCACCTTCTCCCTTTACCCCCAGGTCTACTAAACCACACTGTGTACTCCCTTCTCCATCATCAGTGTGCACGGACGGAACAATGGCAGGGAGAAGTATATCTAGCTTTGAGAAACAGATTTACCTTCCCAAATCTGGCTTTTTAAAGATGATAGTCAAATGACTCTGCAGTCCTCGAATGTATACCATCTGAGGGAAGATGTGCTAACTCAGAAACACACATAGCAGCAATGGGAACAGGTTTGGGGTTGGCACAGTCTTTTCCACCAATCCTAAACTGATCACCCAGAACAAGTCCAAATTCAGAATTATATGGACCCTCTGGAATTCAGTTGGTTGAACTCTAAGTTTAATAAATGAGATAGAGGTGAGTCTTGGATTGCTTTCTGTTAACACAGACTTGTAATGGGATTTGATCTTCATCTCTCACTGTAAACCCCCTCACCTTCTCCTGAGTCCCAACCTCTCTAGGTTTTTCATATCTCTACCACTGGTCTCTCCTTTCTCTCCTGAGCTGCCCCTGGACTTTCCCACCTGGCTGACTCTGAAACTGGACAGGTTGAAATCAAACCTACCTCCTTGCAACAAGCTGCTCTTCACCTCTTGCTCATGACATCCCTGACCCCAGACCTGTCACCTTGGCCATACTCCTCATTGTTCTACCCTAAGAGTTGCCAAATAATGAGATAATGCATCCTATTACCCTTATTAAAGCCTAAATTCCCTCAGGCCTTCTTCCCACTGGCCTGCTCGTACCCCATCTATCCCTAGACCATTTCTCCTGTTCCACTGAAAGCTATTCTGCTCAGCGTAAAAACCTACCCATTGCCGTCGAGTTGATTTTGACTCATAGCAACCCCATAGGGTTTCCAGAACTATAAATCTCTACAGAAGCAGACTGGCACATCTTTCTCCTGCAGAGCAGTGGTCTCGAACCGCCAAGCTTTCAGTTAGCAGTTGATTGCTTTAACCACTGTGCCATAATCTCCCTAAACAAAGGTCCGGATTGTGTGGCCCCCTCCCCACCCAGCTTACAAAAGAAAATTCAAATTCCTTGGCCTGGCATTTTAGCATTTCCACAAATGGATCCTGGCTTAACATTCCAGACTAATGTCCCATGCACATATCTCATCCTACAGCAACAAGACTACAGACCGGTTCATGCAGGGAACCTGTGGGTGTCTGCCTCTTCATTCTGTCCAGAATATTCTTCCCCTTCAACCCTCCTATCTGAATCCTACCTGTTCATCAAGATGCTATTCTCTCCAAGTTGCCTCCTCCTCTCCCCACTATAAGATCTGTTCCTTCCTTTGGGCTCTTTGCACTTTGTTTGCCCCTCTTCTCTAGCACCTATCACCCTGTGGCCTGGATTGTTGCTGTTGTTGTTAGCTTATGTTGAGTTGGCTCCTGACTCATGGCAACCCATGCACAAAGGAACAAAATGCTGCCCAGTCTTGCATTATCCCCATAATTAGTTGCAGATAGGACCATTGTGATCCATAGGGTTTTCATTGGCTAATTTTCATATCTTTCTTCCTAGTCCACCTTAGTCTGAAAGCTCTGTTGAAATCTGCTCAGCCTCATAGCAACAAACAAGCATCCAACGAGTGATGGGTAGTGGCTGTGCATTGGCCAGGACTATAGATATTTTATAAATGTCTTATTAATAACAATGGCTAAAAATAATTGAACATTTACTCTGTGCTAAGCAATGTACTCAGTGCCTCCCATGGATTTAATCCTCATAGCAATTGTAGGAGGAAGGTTTTATCATGTCCCATTTCACAGATAAGGAAAATTAAGGCTTACTAAAATGCAGTGGTCAGCCAACCCAAAAGAACACAACAGGGATTCCAGCTTAGGGAGTCTGAGACCTGAAACATTTCACTATACCACTTCTCAAGGTTTCCCTGTAAATGAAAATAATAGCGCATGGTGTTTACTGAGGGCTGACTTTGTGCCAGGGACAGTGCCATTCTCCTACTTTCCCCATCCCACACAAACTCTTAAAGAGCAAAGTTCGAATCCACCAGCCACTCCTTGGAAATCCTATGGGGCAGTTGTACTCTGTCCTATAAGGTTGCTATGAGTCCATGGCAACGAGTTTTTTTGGTTTAACCCAGGAGGTAGCACAATGCACTGCATCAGTAGATGCTTAAACTGGGAATCCTACTTTGCTAGACTCCACTTGCATTCCATCGATTTTACTCCACGCCTTACTAACGTATTTCAGGGGTTTTCAAGCATGGGAGTTCTCTCTCCAAACAGACAGTAAACTCTAAAGACAAGTCTGAATCAGATGACTCCAAGTGTTTCTCCATTTGACGTAACTGTGACCTCAGTCAAATTTTCTCATGGAGCTAATCTCTGCCTCAGTTTCCCCATGTGCATGCGAATAGGAGTAATTGCAGGTCCATCTGCTCTCGTTCAGATGCTACAGAAAACAACAGGAATGACAATGACATCCCCCATAAATGTCACCACTTGGAGAACAGAAAAACAGAGCACAGGCCTGATTATGTCAAACTGACGCAAGAACTAGGGGCTCGTTCAACCACAGCAGTGGGTAATCCACTGAGAGGTTTGTGAACACATTCTGTGCATTCTATATCTTTTTCAAGAAATTTATCCTTATAGTTAACTAACTATACGTCCTTTAGGTTACTAGAATTTGTAATCCGTCAGCATTAAGTGGCAAGGGAAGTTTGGAAAGCAAGTTCACAATTTAAAAATCAGTCACAGATAACTCCAGTTCAGACTTAATTACCATCTATGGCGCAACAAAAATGCTCTGGGCACAGACCTAGGCACTTTTCTACATACCATGTCATCGAATCCCTGCAAAATCTTATGACGTAGGTATTTTTGCCTGCAGGTTTCAGATAGAGACTGACTGAGACTCAGCGCCGTTCCTTCAAAGTGACTAAATTCCATGGATATAGGAGTTAGCTGTCATTCAAATGGAGTCCCTGAGTGGAACAAAAACTTAAGTGCTCAACTACTAACCGAAAGGTTGGTGGTTCGAACACACCCAGGGCTCTTTGGAAGACAGGACTAACGATCTGTTTCTGAAAGGTCATAGCCTTAAAAACCCTTCTCTGCCTACATGGTGCTGCCATGAGTCAGAATTGACTCGACAGCAACTGGTAACTGGTATGATTCAAATAGATAGTTGATCAGCTCCCTGCAAATGGCTTCCCTGACCTAGTATAGCCAACTGTTGATGCTCCTGACAGAGAAAACAAGATGCAGAAACTCTTCTTCCCCAGACAGCAAGGTGCACTAGGCAAGAAGTCAGGAGAATTCCAGTCTCAGTGCTATCCCAAACTTGTGAAGCTAGCCACTGTCACTCCCAGGGCCTCAGTGTCTTCATCCGTAAGATGAGAGAACTGTACTTTCAGATACTAGAAGACAACAGGAATGACACTTTCTTGTGGCAAGGAGCCCTTGGGCTCAAATTATCCTTGAGTTTATAGGATTCAGGACATCCAGGATATAGCCCTAGCCTAGTCCTCTCTTCATGACAGTCAGCCATGCAAAGTGGGAAAAGAGCATCTGGGCTTGTTGCTGTGGGGATGGAGTGAGCCTGAGCCCCACCTTAGCAAAGTGAATTCTGAGAATTCCTGATGAGGCTGGTGCCCAGAACAGGGTACACAACCTGCATCATTCAGAACCCACAGCAACTGGAAGCCTGGTCCACTCACAGAACCCCTGGCCACCCTCCTGGAGAGGAAAGAGGGCCAGGTTCTCGGACCCTGGACTTCTGACCCTTGTTGTTGTTAGCTGCTATTGAATGACCCTGTGCACAGTGGGATGGGACTGCTGTGATCCACAGGGTTTTCACTGGCTGATTTTTGGAAGTAGATTGCCAGGCTTTTCTTACTAGTCTGTCATGGCCTGGAAACTCCACTGAAACCTGTTCAGCATCACAGCAAAACACATCCTCCACTGAGGGATAGGTGGTAGCTGTGCTCGAGGTGCATGGGCCGGGAATCAAACTCAGGTCT